TAATTCATTTTAATTCATTTTAATTCATTTTAATTCGACCTGTTTTTTTCTTCTTTTCGCAAATACTCTCAGGATCTTCGTAATAACGTTTGACCCATCTCTGAGCTGCACAAATATGAATACCCAATTGTCTCGCAGCAGCAGAAGCACTCAAGCACTTACTGAAAAACAAATGAAAAAATCTAGTTTTCTTATCATCTGAGTAAACTGTATAGCATCGCTTGCTACATACTCATTGTTCCTTTCATCTGCAGCTGGATGCACTACAGGATTTAACGATCTCTCTGAAGATTTATTCATTAGGAATTGAGTACAGAAGCTTATTGTTTCAATAGCGAAGAGTTCATCGTCAACAGCAAGATCCATCGGCTCAATTCCATTCTCATCAACAATGTGTCCTTGTCCATCTTCGTAAAGAAATTATATGCTCATTTCGAATGTCTGTAAAATAAATTGTAATCAGGAAAAAGAAAGCAAATAGGGTCAAGAAACATGATCCAAATGAGCGCAAAAATAAAATAATATAGTAAACATCCGTCTGGACCCGTTCAATCCGTTTGAAAGTGAATGGTAGAGAAAAACCCCTAATGGGTACAAGGGTAAAAAATGTAAAAGGAAATTAATGAGTAGGATTTATCGATGAAAAGTTAAATGAATTGCTTTAACCACACAAGAAACTTTTGACCATGAGAATGCTTGGTAGAGGTTAATCCGTTATGGTGTAGCTGGTCTAATTCATATAGTAGAGAACATATAATCGGCCATCGTTAAGACCAGGTGAGGGCCAGGTTTGGAGGAATCGAAGGACGTAAAGGAAGCATATTCAGAATGAATGACAATGGATTTCGTATTGTTTCAAGCATGAACAAACGTCGATGCATATCAAGGCAACTAATAGTATGACTCTTAGATAGAGCAGTTTGAAAGTGACCTTCATCGTGAGAGGAAGATGTTGCCACTTGAAGTTGCAGAGAAGCTTGTTGCATGTATGCTCTCCAGATGTCAGATAGCTATTGATGCATACATACTATTAAATAAAAACTATATAAATTCCGTATGTCTAGCATTTTGTTACAAAGATTCCTGAAGCTCTCCTTTTCATTTGTGTTTGTAGTACATCAGGTTGAACTTCTTCAGAGAAATTTAAACAGATTTTTCCACAGTCATTTGTTGAAGGGGAGCGTACAACACCACGGTCAACCGATTCAGTCTACAAAAGAAGCCCGCTGTACAAGGTAGCACCCCGTCATTCAGTACAGTAGACTCTCTATTACGGAATACAGCAATACGGGATATTCGCGATATCGGAATACCATTTTCGAAGGACTTTACGGCCACAGCTTTAAACTTCTTGCGATACTCACCTGGATTGTCGATGTATAAGCTTTATTACGGAATATTCTCGATTATAGAATGTCATTTGTGCTCTCGATAAGTATTCCGTAATCGAGAGTCTACTGTAAAGAGCTCGCTCAGTTTTATACTGAATTCATAAAAACTACTGTATCCTTCTTAAAGCAAGAGTTGCAGAAAATATACTTTATTGTCATTAACCGATATAAATAAAAGAAAGTATAAAAGATTTGTCAATTTTAACAGATCCAATTTGTAATCGTCTTTTGTCAGTGGCAGCTTAATTGTATCAGGCTTTTTGATCATCACACGCAGATATTATGATCTTCACTTTGGGATGCATTATGTATTTTTGCATGCTATTAAGAAGAAAAAACAGAGAAAAGAAAAACAATATAAAAGAAGGTTAACGTTCTTTATTATTAGTTTGATCTCTCTTTACCTGATATTATTAAAGGTCTTTTTTTTCTTCTATGGAATTAAAGTCTACTGGTAACTGCATTTGTCCTGCGGTCAACAGGAAATAACATTCGGGTTTACAATTTGCATTGATTTGTCACTCTTATTTTTCCCACGAAGCCGACATATTTATATTATGCTTCCAACCTGATTTTCCTTCTTTCACTTTAGAACAGAAATAAATAATGACTGATTACGAATACTTGAGTGGCTTTGGCAACCATTTCTCCTCTGAAGCATTACCTGATGCCCTTCCCAAAGGTAAAAACATATTCTCTATTGTGAATATGAACAACATCTGTAACATACATAATAATAGGTCAAAACACGCCACAAAAGTGTCCTTATAATCTTTACGCCGAACAATTATCAGGAACAGCATTCACCGTGCCTCGTACTCACAATCAAAGAAGGTAATAATGAAGACCTTGTAGTATAATAACTCATCCCCCTTTTTTAGTTGGCTTTATCGTATTCGTCCATCAGTCGTTCATCAACCATTCAAGCCCCATGAAGAACCTACTTTACTCGTTTCAAAATATGGTGGAGACGATGTCTTGATTACCCCCACACAAATCCGATGGAGTCCATTCGATTTACCTGCTGATAACGAAAAGATAAACTTTGTACAGGGATTAAAGTCCTTGGCAGGTGCTGGTGATCCTGCCTGTCGCAGCGGATTGGCTGTTCATGTTTACACAGCTAATACAGATATGGGTAAATCTGCATTTTATAATGCAGACGGTGACTTTTTAATAGGTAAGTGCACCAAAATAGGTCTATATAAAGAACAAGGGGAAAACTCAATCAATATACATAGTCCCTCAACAAGGTACACTGGATATTTACACAGAGTTTGGAAAAATAAAAGCCGAGCCTAATGAAATCGTTGTCATCCAACGAGGCATCAGATTTTCAGTATCACTTCCAGATGGAAAATCGTAAGACACCCATATAACATTTATATTTGATGATTTACATGCGCATTCGTTTTTGCAGGAGAGGATATGTACTTGAAGTATATGGAACTCACTTTGAGCTTCCTGATCTTGGCCCTATCGGTGCCAATGGTCTAGCCAATCCTCGTGATTTCTTGACCCCTGTTGCCAGCTTTGAAGAAGAAGATAACGTCGAATGGCAAATCATTACTAAATTCAATGGAAGATTATTCAGCGCAAAGCAATCGCACACACCCTTTGATGTCGTCGCATGGCACGGAAACTATGCTCCTTATAAATACAATTTGGCCAACTTCTGTACTATCAACACAGTGTCATTTGATCATATTGTAAGATATAAAAAAATGATACGTGTGTGTACATGTTACTAACACTTAAAAGGATCCATCTATCTTTACTGTATTAACCGCCAAGTCAGATACTCCTGGTGTAGCTGTTGCAGATTTCGTCATATTCCCTCCTCGTTGGGCAGTAGCTGAAAACACAGTAAGTTGACAGTGGTTGATTCATAGCGAATTCTCATCATTCTATCCTAGTTCCGTCCTCCTTACTTCCACCGTAACTGTATGTCTGAGTTCATGGGTCTGATCACTGGTGATTATGACGGCAAAGCAGATGGATTCTTACCTGGTGGTGGTTCCCTTCACAGCATCATGACCCCACACGGTCCTGATGCCGCCGTCTTTGAAGCAGCCTCAACAGCAGAGCTGAAGCCTGTTTATGTCGGAAAGGGCAACCAGGCGTTCATGTTTGAGACAAGCTTCATGCTTTCACTCACTCATTGGGGACTCGAGACTTGCGGAAAGGTCCAGGAAGACTATTGGAAGGCTTGGGCAAACTTAGAAAACAAGTTTAATCGTCAAAAGAAATAAAAAATTTATTCTTTAGCAGACTCTGGCATCCAATCTTGAGAAACGACGCCTTCCTTTCGCAGGTGTCGTATCATCATTTCAAAGGTATCATCATAGACATTAAAGTACCCCAATGCCATCATCTGATCGGCTAATCCAGTGATCGCCTCCACCTTTTTTCGTCTCACTTCTTCTTCTTCTTCACTCAAGGCAGGTGCTGATTGCTTTTTGTTCTTGTTCTTTTTATCCAGCATCTTTTGTTTCCACGCTGGTAATTTTTTAGGAAGGGAATTGGCTAACGAAGTCAATGCTTCCTGCACGCTCTGCCCAGGTTGAAGGTATTCGACAAGTGTGCGGTATATATCTGTCTGTGTCTGTGGCAGATTTGCTTGTCGTTCTGCTTCTTTTAATGCTTCCTCTCTTTCTCGCTTTTCATGTGCCTCTTTTGCTTGGTTGATTTCTCTGCGAGTGATGCCTTCCATCCATTTGTCATGAAACGCTTGAGGATCTTCTTTGTTGCGAATGTAGTTGCCATTTTCATCCAATGTACCTTCTTCCAATTCTGCTTTCATATTAAACGCAGTGATCTTGACTTCCTTTTTATCACCTTCCTCTTCTTCTTCTCGATCATATGAAGTATAGTCTTGACCTTCTATCTCGTCATTAGGGTTCTTTTTCTTTTTTTTCTCTTTGGCAGCAGGTTGACCACCAAACATGTCAAAGTCGTCATTGGCTGGTTTTTTCTCTTCTTCTTCTTCTTCTTCTGATTTTCCTTCATCTTCAGAGTCACCACTGCTATATCCCACTTCTTCGTCATCGCTACCATAGACGTCGAAATTAACTGCTCCTTTACGACTCTTTTTTTCTTCAAGCATGTCCTCATGGTTGAATTCGATGTCGTCCGCTGAACTACTTCTTGTGTTGGAATCAAAGCGAACGCGCTTAGAAGATGAACCTTCTCCACGATTATCAAACCCTCTTTTCATGATTTAAAAAAATATATATGAAAGAAAGCAGTGCGTGCCTATAGATTCTCCGCTGATTTTTTTAAGAGAGGTGCGCCTACGAACTTGCTTTCTTGTATGCGTCAATATGGTTTCCGCAGCATTTTATGATATGCTCTCCATTCTCCTTGAATGTCACCGTTTTATTCACTGAGCATCGCTAAGTAAAGGTTTAAGTTGTTTGAATATTTTATATGTATTTTATGTCTATTACTTGAGCATTTATAGTAAATACTCCTTCGACCTGAGTTCCTATTCGACTGGTAATTGTCTCCAAAATTATACATTTATGCGTAATATCTGTTAATACACCCTCCATTGGCTCATAAACTCTTGTTCCATTGTCATCAAAGGTATTATAATGCCAGTCTTTATCGTAAAAAGTAAATGATATAATTAAAACCAAAGATAAACTGTAATAGTTTTTGACTGGTAACATATAATATATCCTTTGCAGACATATTAGGTTAGTCGACAGTATCCTTCTATAAGAACGTCAACATTTTCGCTTACATCCCGACAAAATCTTTGAAAAAACCGACAATGTCAATCAACTGGGCTGATCTTGTTTTTGTCAGGAGGCTTGTAACTTGGACGACTACTTCTTGTTTATCTCTTACAAACGATATTAAATATTTACTATGAACATCCAAAGATATGCACCAGTCCCTGATACACTTACAATTCCTGTTACGATTTGGAAACAAGCAGTTAACAATTATAGTTATAAACGTAGAATCAGAGTGCTCCTGAGGTATCAGAAGGCAAAAGTTTATTGTAATAGGGAGAAGTACTCCAGTGAAGCAACTATAGCTGTTGTTTGCATTGAACTCTGCAAGTCAAATAAGACAATCTTTCATCTCCTTTGATCATAGAATGGACAATTTTCTTGAGAAAAAGCAATTCTGAAAGCTGATCTTTTGCTAACTACTCTGCTAATGCTGAGGCCAAGACTAAAGCCAAGTGGACTGCCAATATGGTTAAATTAAAGTCGTCAGAAAGCGTTAAAGATTATAAACAGAAAATTGGCCGATTTACTGTTGAACACTACGCGCACGAGGAAATACAAGAGAAGGCTAATACTATGGACGCTTCCTTTAGGTGCTATCTACGTTGTCACTCTGCAGTTTCGCACTATCAAAGCCTCTACCTAACCTAACGCTTTCCAATGGAACGTTCGTTAATGCAATTACACGTGATTGATCTTGGTTATTTGTTGATCAAACTGACAACATAAGGCCCTTGTACTGGAGCCTTTCTGCATTGAAAATCCTCCATGAATTTATGATCATTTAGTAGATTTTCTCTAATAAAAGTTTTAACTGTGCTGTTTACTGGTAAGAGATCAATTAATATTTTTTGTTAAAATTTGGTTAGGATCTATCAAAGAGTAAGTTTATGAGCAAGTCAATAAAAAGTGTCTATTTCTTCATTACCTGACAATGGATTTTATATCTTTGCAATTTCTTGATAGTCCTGAAAAGCCGATCACAACCAAACGAATATCGGTATCTGTAGTTTTGATATGATCCATCATATCTAAAAGAAAAAACGATATCAATTATATCTATTTTGGGAACATATGTATATACATTATACCTTGGGCACTGTCAGACACATTATTTAATTGCCTTACAAGGGATTTACTCTTCTCGCATAAGTCTCTTGAAGAAATTTTATCCATGCTGCCAGAGAAGGAAGAAGCATAAACAGTTTTGATATAAACATCTTTTTGTAAGCCTATTAGTCACAGATTCTAATAATCGAACTCGCACTTCATCGCTTTCTTCTACTTTTGATTTCTTATGTAGCCTATTAATTCGAGACCTTCTTCTTCGAGATTTTTTACAAATGATTTGTAGTTTGAAGGGTATTCCGTTATTGCTGAAACAAATTTACCTATAAAGAGAAAATAAATTTAAAAGTCACTCTTGTAAAGCTTGTAGCTAAAAATTACCAAAGAATCCTTGCTTCATAACGTACAACGGCCCGATTCGGTTCACTACAGTACCATTTTCACTTTTTTGTTTTTTTCTTACTTCATCTGCTTTGAAAAAATGTAGTTTTTTCGGCTACACCAAGTTGTGAAACTTTTGAGATTCTTGTCATCAAAATAATCGGTATAAAGAGATATGATACGAAATATATCTTTTATGGTTAAGTGCTGGAAATTATAGACCGCATTATCATGAGAATTGAAAGGTACGAACGCCTCGTTTATAAATTGCACAACCTGAGCCACTGAGTCTATGTATAAAAAATAGACAAACACTTGATGCACTCAAAAATAGACTAATACTACGGGCACCACCTCTACCCACTACCTATGATGTCGCCCAACAAAGCCTTTCAATGTGTAGCGTCAAGCTAAACATGAGTTTATGAAATTACCATCTTGAATTGTCTCTTTTCAAGAAGAAGAAAGAGATAAAAAAAAGAAACGTTGTTATTGCTTTATTCAGTTTTATGTTTTCAGTTCTATCAATAAAGAACCAAGATTAATCACGTGTAATTATGATGCATTCACATTTTGTATCAGAGTGAGCTGGTCAGCCTTTGGTTAAGCAGAGACTTTGGTAGCGTGAAATTGTAAAGCAATGTCACAGTTAACCTCCCAAGGAACCGCCCATAGTATTATTAGCCTATTTTTGAGTGCATTTTTGAGTGCACCAAGTGTTTGCTCTTAAATGTTCGCGTATTATGTTGAGTCAAACTACGACATTAGATCAGGATATATCTCTCTAAAAAAAAAATCTTTTTTTGGTAATAATCTTTACGTCATCGGTATGATGGTTGTGGAACAAATAAGAGACTGAGCTTTTATCAAAGGATTTCTCTCTTTTTTTGAATGGGTTCATCTATTTCAAAAGAAGAAATGACTAAAGTTCAAGACATTGTTGAAGAAATTATCAAGACCAACAAGATTGCTGTCTTTTCCAAGACTTATTGCCGTAAGGTTTACTATTAACAACGCGCGAGAAAAGATTAGATAACATATGTGTCTAGCCTATTGCCACAGAGCAAAGGAAGTGTTAAAGCAACATGGTGTACAGTTTTTCGTAATGGAACTTGACATAGAAGGTAAAGAATGATTGCTTGGTGTATGTTTATGGCTGTGACAAACTGAATCTATTTCTTTAGAACTTGGTTCTGCTGTTCAACAATATCTCCAGGAAAAGACCGGTCAGCGTACTGTTCCCAATATCTTTATCAATGAACAACACATTGGTGGCTGTGATGACTTGATGAAACTTAATAGCTCTGGTGAATTAAAGAAGCTTTTACAATAAAGTAATAAATCATTCTTTTATTACAATCATAATATGGTTTAGAATATCTGCATAAAAGAGAATATGAATGTATTTAAGAAAGCCTGTGGTATTACATTAAAGCCTGTAGTGCTACATTAAGTACAGCAAGCATTAACTTTGGCAATCATTCGTCTTCCTTTTTTTTTCTTTAAGCAAAACATAAAAGATGCCCAGACCTACAGAAACTGCAAACCTTTATGAACCTGAGAGCCTTGATGATTTCAGTGATATACTCGAAAACAACGAGAAAGTTGTAGTTTACTTTTACACTTCTGTCGATTCTGAATGCAAAATCACAAAGCCTATCATCCGCAGTCTTGCTTATAAATACAAGGACATCCTCTTCTTTTTGGTTAATGTCGATCGCCACGAGGTAAGTATAAAATGAAACAAAAAGACTCGAATGATTATGTTTCTTCAGGACATTGCTGATGAATATGGAAATATTAAGAGGACGTATGGAGGCTATGCTCGTGTATATAGAAGGACCCCAAAGTCTAAAGTCGTGCTCTTCCAGCATGGTCAATCGAAGGCTGAAATACACGGTTTTCATCCTTATGCAGAATACGGTTCTAATGCTTATGACATTTATGAAAAAGAGATCAGTACTACTTTTGCTTAATAATCTTATACCATCGAATGGACTGGCACAAGTGGCACTCTTTTGATTACGCAGTACTCTTTTTTTCCCTTCAGATAACTCGATCAATATAATAAATCTGCTACAAAGACAATAGCAATACTTATATCCTTTATCCCATGAATGCTTATACTTTTTTATGCCCACTGACTGATTGCCATTCTTCAATCGAGAAAGAGCATTCGTGTTAGACACAAGGACAATTTGCTTCAAGTAAAACCTTTCGATTGTAATATTTCCAATTCTTCCTTAACTGACTTGATGAATGAAAAAGCCTCTTAGGGACTTTGGATCGGGAGCGATACATACTTGTGACATGTACTTGTTTTCAGCACGGATTGTCTTGGGTAAGTTCAAAATAACCAGATGAAAAATGGCCATCGTATGTTTGCCATGTTTGAAAACTTGGAACCCGTCATTATAAAGACCAAGATGTAGGACCAGTCTGTATTTTCTCTTACTGTAAAACTTGGAAGCTAGTTTCTAAGGCAGGATCATCAGTTACAGGGTTACTTAATTTCGCTTATACAGGTCCACCAACGCTCTTGTCTGAAAAGGACAAGTCTCAAGAGCTTTTTCTTCATGAGCAGCGTACTCATATCAATCCAAGTTGCTGGCCATTTCCTCAAACTCTCCTGCCTCATTTTCAGTTACTTTAGTTTCAGACTCACTGTCAATAGACACGACATCTATGCCGTCATCGTCCATGATGCTATCAATCTGCACGATTGAAGAGTCATTTTAGAATTAGATACAATTTAGTCTATAGTCAATGTAAACCTACCTCCGTAATTTACTTGGACGTCGATAGCCAGGACATCGATGCGACCACAAGGTTTTCTATATAACATATATGAGCGTTTTTATGTTTTTTAATTTATATATTAATGGCCATTCTTTAAAATTACCCATAATACTCTTCGTGCATGACAGATAAGTTTCTTTTACAAAGGAAAGTCTGTGTGTTGAACATCATTTGGTAAAGGATACTTGTAACTTATCATCCAAAATACGCATGAAGTTGGAAACAATGTGGAAAACATCTTTTGCACTTATTTCCTGAGTTTGGTAGGTCACATCGTAATGCGGATCTTCAGGAAGAAAACCTAGTGACTATCTCCCCAGCCCTTGAAGACTAAAAAGTACAAATAGATCCCCTTATTCTTTGTTATTGATCGTTGTCTTATTTTTCAAGAATAAAAGGTATGCCAATATACTTTCTCTCGGTGCTTTTTTCTCTTTTATAATAAGATTATAACGTCTTGGTTTCAATAAGCGTGAATTACGTTCGGACACGACAGTTTTGCATGCTTTCTTTCTTGTTGACTGAGTCAAAGAATCTACGTATTCAATGATTAAGCCTTCTGCAAACTTTTTCTGAAAGATAAATACATTCGGCTAATGCATATTGACGGTTGAGTGTCATTTTTATCAGTGGTTCAAGTTGCTGCACTCTCAGCAGAAGGCTCCACCAATATTGTGCTGACTAAATGTTATAATCAATATCGCTTGTTTGACGTTGTCTTCCTGTAATTTTCGTTGTACTCTTGGGCATAACCCCCCTTCTTGAGTCAACCCTGAATAAATACTTTTTGCTTTCTGGAGCTGCTAGTGTTATTTCCGTAATTTCCTCCAATCAGTTTTGTTATTTATCTACATGGTAAACATCTTGTGGCTTTCAACAGTTACTGTATCCTCATGCCTAGTTTCTATATTTTATTCATCGTACTTGAATTGTCGTCAAGTGCCAAATTGTTTTTAATATGTTCTTCTTTCTGTTGACAAAAATAGTCCAGCTTTTTCAAGTGCTGTATTATGATATACTACAACATGATCCTTCGTTTTGGCTGGAAATGTGGATGTAGTCCAGGTAAAAAGACAAAATGTCGATACATTTCCTTCAGATTCCAAAGCACACTATTGATTTGGAGTATATTCTGGTGGCAATAAAAAACATTCTTTGGCTTTGGTAGATTTGAGCATCCATCAAACATTACTGCATAATTTTTACTGTCCCCACACATTTGCTTTATATTTGGGGCATAGAAAAACTATCTGGTTGCCAAAGTCAGTAAGGGACAGACATGAGAGAACTTTCTGTCCGTTACTTGAAGATATAAAAGTCATCCTTAAGGCTGAACCAATGGTCAACATTAAGAAATTTCAACGAGAAACAGTCAATTTAAGGACAGGATCTGAGCGATAAACAGGATCTTCATCGCTGATCTCAAGCAATCACCGACGATGCAATGAAAGAACTAGCTTGGTGGATGTAATTGAAAGAAGCAAACAACGGGTTATCAATTCACAGAGGAAGTTCAGAATATGATCAAGACGTAAACAAACCAAGATATATCGTTTACGTCGACGCGTCCAAGCTCTTAAGCACACACGGATTTTGGAGTGCAACAGAAAAAGACGATTTCATCAATGTACCAAAGCTGAGGACGATTCTCTTTACAGTTGAAGTATGCCAACAAATATGGAGGAGCAGCATCCCGAATGCTTCAGCAACTAGCATTAGAAGTACAAGGCATTCTACAGACGTTCCATATCAAGCTGGTATGTGAACACATAGTGGGAACACAGAACACCATTGTGGACCTTCTCAGTAGGCAATCCATTCCAATATATGAGCAGCAAATTTCAAAGAGGTTCTTCAATCAGATTCAATAGCGATAAACAGATTTAAAGGTGGATGCGTTCGCAGCATATCAGAACAAGGTTCTAACAATGTATTAGAGTCGCTATCCGGATCCAGGAGCGACGGCGGTGGATGTATTCAAACAACAGTGGCCGTCCACGGGGTTATTTTTGAACCCACCTTGGATGCTCATATCAAGAGTGCTGAGAAAATTGAAAGAAAGCGGAGTGAGATCAGCAGTGCTAGTGACACCTTTATGGAGAACACAGTTTTAGCGGCCAATGAATCTCATCTTCAACTGGACTAGCCAATCGGTTAAAAAGAGCAACAGTACGGCTTCGATATCTCATATCTCATGGAGGTTATCAGGTATTGCCGTTAAGAACAGGGCCTCTTTCAGAAGTCGTAATGCAGAAGTTACAACAAAAGAACAGAAAAGCATCAGTTCAAGTATACTGTTTTATTAAAAATAAACTTCAGAAAGAGGATAAATTATGATGTGTATGTAAAAAATAATTGGCGCATATTAAAAAAGTATTTACGCAAAGGTTAAAAATAAAATGTGTGCAAAAGGAGACGACATACAAATGAAAATAACAAGTACCAAGGAGAGAATATAAAGAATTATACAGTTAGTTATGTAAGAAAATTATTACATACAACTTACCCCGAAGGCATCTAGATGTGTCCTAGCGATAACTAGGACGGAGAATCATCGTCTAAACGTATTCTAGCTCTTGGCTGCTCCTGATCATCCACTCTTCTTCGACATCTTGTAGGAGCAACAGCAACCCGGCGAAACCTATGAGGAACCATGCCATTACGTCGAAGCTCACGTAGGATGTGCATGTAGTTGAGACAAGCAGCAACATCCCTGTTCCATAAGCGATATCTATCTGGAGCTGCCATGGCGGGTCTACAGTATAGATTGGTGCATCTACAAGCAATGTTTAATCAGTATAAAGTTATTCAAGTGGCTCATGTATTATTACCCTAAAAGGCCATGGCAGACAACAGCAGGACATCGCTCACGTTGATACGGTCGTGGATTTGGAACACAACGGAACGTGTGGAGGCTCTCGTTGTGGCATGTTGGACGGCACCTACTGGTCTTGTACTCGTCTATAAGGTAGACTTGTAACCCATGTTTCTTGAGGAGTCTTCGGAAACCAAGGCCACGGATGGGCTCATGATACCTAGCATGGGGAGCGGACCAGTTTCTCATCACAAACACGGCGTCTTCTCCAACCTTGGCGCGTAAGTCTTGAATAAGCTTTTGATCGGC